CAACGCATCACATATAGATACCAAAGCAACAAAAAAAAATAGATACCATTTTATTAAAAATTGCAGATACAATACAACAGCCAAAACTTGAGAATTACATTGACAAAATCTCTTTTATTTTGCTGATGGGTGATAAAAGAGTAACTTGACCGGTTTATATAGAGGAGAGGTTTAGTGTCGTTAGGTTTAGCTTAAAAATAAAGAATTTAATATTTTCTAAACATTTTGGGAAATAAATTTACAACTTCTCTTTTGATTTTTTTTTTTACACTATTCTATAGAATATCCTACCCCCATAAATGTGGGATTACATATCGTTATAATAAATAATTAATTACCATAATAAGTGGAAACGAATTAATTACCATAAAAATCGGAAATTATTTCGTTACCATAATTCTATACAATACTAATATATATTACATTTGAACAATTAAATTCTTAGAGATATATATTTTGTTTTAGAACCAATCAATACATCTTACTGTGGTCTATTGGTTAGTGCCGTTTGAATTGTTGTGCAGGTCATGGGTTCGGATCCTTTAAAATTTTTTTTTTCCAGTGTAGAGTAAATGACAAAATTACCCTTATCTTCTTCCTTGAGAAATCGATCTCTGCAAAACCCTAACCTACCACCACTTCATTTTTTCACGATTTTGATCAGTTTTTTTTTTTTTTTTCCATTGTAACATAGAGATGTATGTTATAATCAACAATTACCAATCGATTTGTATAGAGATGTATTTCTTTGTAAAATTCTCATTTTTCGCCCGAACATGTCATGATACCGGTGAAAGTAGGGCAATAGAAGAAAGCTCCATATTTGTTTTTTTTCGTTTTCGTTATATTCTTAGATCGAAATTGTATCAGATGTCAATTATTAGTTTCCATATATTCAATCCGTGAATCATAGCCCACCCATAAAAAATACACGCAGATCCCCTAATCTTTTAATGAAATGTTTTGAGCAAATTATCCTTCTCCAATTTGATTAAGCCTTTGTAAATGCCAAAATTGAAATTGAAATTGAGGCCAAATTAGACCATTTTTCAATTTGTACTTCCCTTTTAATAATAAGGGGATTTGTCAGTTTAATCAAAAAAAATAACTGAAAACTGTTGTCTTTTTAAGGAAGATAAAGATAAAAAGACGAGAGGTATATCACAACAATTTGTCTATCTTAACCCTTTTTTATGGTAAGCATATTTAATATTTCTATATGTTTGGTTATTAATTTTGTTTAGTTTTGTTATTTTTAATTAATTACATATATTTTAAATTAATTGTATATAGTTACTTTTAGTATATATATATATATATATATATATATACGTTTTGTTTTTTATAAATCTAAAATGTTCTCGTAGCTTAATGGTTGAGTGTCTCTTATGAGTGCATTAGGTTAGCAGTTCGTTTCATTGTACACGTGTTTTTCCTTCTTATTTTTAAGTGAAACAACGTCGTTTTGATCCAACGGAGACTTCTAACGGATTGTTAACCCCGATGAACGTCAGTTTAACGGAAATTTAACAGCATGCCCGAAATGGCCAAGTCATCGAAACTTGACCATTTTATCAAAAAGTCAAACTAAATTTTACGATTTTTCTGGCATTTCGAAAGTTCATGTTTTTTTTCGTCCCAAATTTGAAAGTTTGTGCCTTTTTTTCGATATTTTTCCAATATAATAATAGCAATCCAAATAAATGTTTTTACGGTTACATTTTTTTTACCGTAAGTCTTCATAAATATTCTATTAATAAATTATTGCAATAGTTCAATTGAATCATTGTAGCATTCGGTTTATTTGACCAGTCATTACAACTTTTAGTTTATTTAGTTATTTAAAGTCATGTCTTTCAATAATAATCTTCATTAAAAATTTGAAAGATTTTAGATTATACAGAGTAAAACTCTTTCAAATGATCTGATTTCTTAAATTATTTATGCATTGGTAAAATATATATATTATAACTTAGAGGATCGTTTTGTTTTAAACTTCCGAAAAATATATATTATAACTTAGATATTATTTTTCTGTACAGGTCGATTTTCCATCTTTAATTATTTAATTCCGTTTGTTAAAAGTCATCAAGAATAATCAAATACTTGAATAAATATTTTATAGTTAGGATATTTGCTAAACTAATATTTGAGAAAATAACGAGAAATATCTTTAACAGATTTATTTTTAGATCCAAGAAGCTGAAGTTTGTTGAAAACAGATATTTTCAAATCCAATGAAATAAACTCACTGATACGATTTCACTCGGCCATAAAATCAGTGATATGATTTTTCGGTTTCTGAATCTTACAATAAAAAAAGATATGACTCATTTTCTGTTCTTAATGCTTAACAAAACAACTTTAACAAATTTTCGATAAAAAAAAGTGCTGTAAAAAAAAAGGGAAAATTAGAAATAAAGGAGCTCTAAAAAAAAGTTTGACCATATACACTTTTTTTTTTAGAATGTCACTTTGGACTAAAATATCCCTACTCTCTATTTTAAGCATTTTTTGAATGATTTTACCAAAAAAACATGTAGATATACAAGATTATAGATGATTTGAAAAAAAAATTTTGATGATTTAGTTGAAAAATTTTGATTTTTTGATGGATAAAGTTTCGTCTAAAATTATTAGAATATGTTTTCTAGCGTTCTACGAATATCAGAATTTATATTCTAAACTTTTGTACATGTTCTACGAAAATCAGAGTTTGTATTCTAAATTTTTGTACATGTTCTACGACTTTTAGATTAGATACATGTTCTAACAAATTCAGAAGACCGGAATACAATTTCCAAAAATCCTTAGAACATGTATTCTACGCTTTTCTTCATGTTCTAATTTTAGTCAGAAAATCTATTCTACGATTTATAACATGTTTTAAAAACGTTAGAAAACGTATAATTATTTTAGAATCCGTTTTCTAATATAATATAGATTTCAATTTCTGAAAAGTTTTAGAATTCCTAAATATAGAAAGTGAATCTTTCAAAAAGAAAACTGAATATTTATTAAATATTACGTTTTTATTGTTTAGATTACGATCTGAGGATGGTTAGAATACGTATTCTAATATTTTCAGATGAAAAAAAAAAAATTAAAAACGAAAATCTAGAGGGTGAAATCGTTTTTTAGCCCTAATCGTCAAAGTCTTCTTCTTTCACCTCTTCCTTTTAAGTCCACGTTGAAAGATTAGACTAATTTGGTAGATTTGTCGTTGTTTTTCCCCGTTCTGTGCCACGTTTTGTCATTTGGTATATACCCATATGCTGATGATGTGTATACAACTGCCACTTGGAGATCATTATATGAGGAAACTATTAATCCAATAGGTGTTCCTGAAGATGAATGGCGCGTCCCAGAGGTTGTTGAATCTGCAAAAGTTTTACCACCTGAAACAAGAAGACAACCTGGTAGACGAAGAAAACGAAGATATGAATCAGCTGAAGACAAGATAAAAGCATCACAACAGTCACAATTATCAAAAAAAGTATAAGTGCGGCCGTTGTGGTAAAGAAGGTCATAATCGAGTAACATGTGATGTAGCAATATAAGGTTTGTGATCGTGATCTGACTACTAGTTTAAAACTTAAGTATAGATTCCCTACTTTTATATTTTGTTTTGATAATTGTTTTCTTTATCTTTTTGAGGATTATGTTGCAACTGCTCTCATTGAACGTTTCTAGTTACCACTATATGGATTTTGAACTTCTTTTTCATTTCATGATTATTTTCGTATTTTTTATTTCAGATTTGAATTTCCTAGTACTCTATGTTTGAATTTTGGTTCTCATAATTGGAATCCCTACTACTCTTATGTTCGTGGTTTTGCTTTGAGTTTCGGATTGACTTATCACTAAATTAAGTATATACAACATAAGTTTCAAGACCAATTTAACATAATTTAAAAAGAAACGTAAGAACCATAGTCTCAACCTACCAAGTAGGAATTTTCATTTAGTTTATTGTTTATCGATGAGGAAAGTTGATATGTTGTGTTTTTATCGGTTTTGAGTCTTTGTTTTCTTTCCTACATCATATGTTTTATAGAGTCAAAGTGTGTTTTTAGAGTATTTTAGTCTTTTATCGAGTCTTTACAGGTTTTAGGTTGCTTTGGAGGAAAACGAGCTGTTTTGGGTTATAAACACACTTTTGGAGATGCAGTTTCGTTTAGAAGTGTCATACGTTTGGTCTCAGATGGAATACTTCACACCGTTAGATCTTTATGAATTTTGGACACAAGCTAGATGAAGATGTTAGCTTGATTTTCCAAGTAGTTTGAAATAAATCTAACGGTGCATTCAAGAGTTATACCCAAATTAGTGAAGACAGGTCAATCTGGCGAAAGAATGAGGGTATCTGAATTATGTAAATAAAATAGGAAATAATTTTTTAAAAATTTTGTTAATTATATTTTCGAAAATATGAGGGTAAATTTGGGTTTTGATTTTTAAAAAACCCATTTCACCAAACTTTTTATATAAAAGTATATATGGACATTTATCCATTAAAACATCCTTTATTTCTAATTTTCCCAAAAACAAAGGGAAGTAATTTTTTTTTTTTTGACATCTTTGGATCGACAAGACCCGATCCATAGCCAATCCCTACTACGCGGGGTAACGCGACTTAGTGGAGTCGAACTCCGGTGGGGAAGACGGAGTCAAGTGGACTTAACCACTTGACTAAAGAAAAAAAAAGGGAAGTTTAGCAGCGGAAAAAATAATAAATTTTTGTCTTTGAAAGATTATACCATTTATAACATTCCCTTATCTCTCAGGAGTTTATCAACATGAAGTTTATAGAGTTTTGACTTTATTAGTTTCCAACATTCGATTGAGATAGTTTTAATCCAAAAAAACAAAAACAATTTAGCAGTTGACTTACTAATGGAAGAGTCCAATGAAGTGAACTTTTGTGGATCTATGTCAAACCAGATTCGGATTGACCCAAAATAAAAGACTACAGTGATAATGTTAATACAAACATTTCATAAATAACCAAAAATTTAACTCGATCAAACAAAAACAACAAACTTAATCGTCACTGTTCTTTAAATCCATAAGAACCATGCATCACAAATTATTTGTCCACAATCCATAAAATAAATAAAAGAAGTTGATTCAACTTATTTAAAATTAAGAAGAAAAAAAACAAAAAACAAATCTAAGCGAAGATGTAAACAAAAGAAGAAACCATCACAGCAGCTAGGAATTGTTTGGATACTGATAAAATCCCGGTACTCGATATTGATGGTGACGGTGACGGCGAAGCTGCCATCGGTGATGAAGCGATTGCCGTGGATGATGAGACGGCCTTTAACGGTGATGAAGCAGCCTCCACCGGTGATGAGTGCCTAACTGGCGGTGGTGAGTGCCTAACTGGCGGTGGTGAGTGCCTCACCGGTGGTGGTGAGTGGCTAACCGGTGGTGGTGAGTGGCTAACCGCCGGTGATGAAGGGGTCATGGCCGGCGACTTTGCTGAAGGTGGTGAAGTCGTAGGTGGCTCTACTGGTGGAGAAACTGCATGGACAACGTTAATAAAATATATTAAATTTCAAGAGTATATAAAAACATAACATATAGACTTGAAACTTACTTGGTGTTGTTGCAACCGGATTAGATACATCTACAAATTAATATAGCAAAACAATGAAATAAAATTCTAAATAATTCATATTAACTCACATTAAATAAACGAATTATTGATTATGTAAAAAACGAGAAAAATATACCACAATGAGGATCAATGGGAACGTTGCAAATTTTAGGCATGGCAAGAGCTTTGGTATCATCTAGTACGAAACCCATTGCACGACTACTCTCTAACGCAGAGCAAAGACACTTTGGGTTATATTCAAGAACGGTTTTGATCCCAACACAACACGTTTTGGTCGGGCTTGGATCAGTTGATCCGACGGTTAAGAAGGATAGACAATCCACCATGCTGTAGATGACGCTAGAACAGTCGATGGAGTTTGATGGTTCCGGTGTTGGAGACATCACCGGTGGGTGTGACGGCGATCCAAAGTCGGATGCATGCGATAGTGATGATGATAGTAATAGAGCAATAGATAGAAGAACAAAAGATGGCTTCATCTTTTTTTTTGTGTTTGTGTTTATATATTTTGTTTTTACTATTAGGTTTTCTATAGGAGCTTGAAACGTTGTTAGAGGGTTCCTTTATATATATAACGTGAAGTGTGTGTTCATTCGAGATGTTTTTTTTTTTTTTTTGAGTTTTAGTTTGGTATATTTAAAGATATGTTACTGATTTGGTTCTATCCATTTAGTTACATTAGATTTTGTTATATCTTTTCATTTAAACATTTGAATTTGAATAGCTTCAAAAATTCGTTAGCGAATTATCGGGATTTGAGTTAATGGAAATATAAAAAATTCATAATTTGAGATAAATAATAATAATTTATAAATTTTAGTAAACAATTACTCTTAGCCTATAGAATTTGCGAGGACTGAGGAAAAATATATTTGCTTTCTCATCATAATTTTTTTTTTTGTCATCCAAAATTAATTAGAGCTCAAAAGAGTCATTCCTAAGGAATGTTGTTTACATATGTGATATGAAGCGGTTCTGTACGAACTTTTCGTAACAGATTATCCGCTTTAGTATTAGCTCTACGAGAAATTAAAGATAAAGAGAAAGATGAAAACTCCTCTTTGTCGCTCTGAAATTTCTCCAAATACACTGAAAACGCCGGCCATTCGGTTGGAGAAGACACCATCTTCACCAGGTCTGAACAGTCTGTAAAGAACGCTACCTCTTGATTATCTGCACCAATCATACCTCATGATTAGCTTTCTCATCATTAGTCTCCTTTGTAATTTAGATATTTAAATCTTAAAAATTAACACTATTGTTTGTTGGAGAATCCCCACAAACAATAAATAGCATAAACTTGTTTAATATTCCATTAGCTAGATGATACACAATTACGTATTAAGTAATTGGTAAAATTTTGTTGTATACAATTATGATGCAAATAGATTTAACTATTTAAATTTTTATAGAATAACTTAATAGTATTTTTAAAAATTTTATTTGCTATGTAAATATTATGTTCGGAAAATTGCGAAATCTAAAATTCCATAACGTTAACGCATCTAACTAGTAAGATGTTGTTATTGGGTCCAACTAATAAAAGCCCAAATACTATTTTGTTCCTTTCCTTGTTTAAACATTTGCAAATAGGTCCCATACTTATTTCCCTTTTTAATTTCCTTACCAACGTTTAATAACGATCATCCAGGTCCCTCTCTGCTTCTTCTCGACTCTTCTTTACCAAAATCAATTGGTCTCTCTTTCTCTCTCAGCTTCCAAAGTCTTCATCTTTCTCGACAATATCTGAACCTTGTCTGAGAATCATTTGAAGAAGATCATTCTTCATCACCGATCCACTTTCTGATGTAAGAATTTCTCGTTTTCCTTGCTTCTTACTTCTCTTGTCTTATGTTGTTTTCATGGTTATCTCGAGGTTTGGGCATGTTTGATTTAAGCTTCTGTGGATGATTGAACTAGTGTTTATTTATACTTGTAGTTAAGTTAATGGAACAATTCAACAGTGATGAAGTCTCATATCTTGATGCCAAGTCCATTAGAGCAACAAAGAATGATTCTGACTTTTCTGATTCTGATTTTGAGGATGATTTTGAAACGGTAAGCATTTCTTTGTGATGTTTTAGTAACTTTTGTGGTAGAGAATGAATAATCTTTAAGATGTCTTATGTGACAGAAGAAGATGGAGACTGATACATCAGCTCAAGAGGCAAGAAATGGTAAAGACATTCAAGGGATTCAGTGGGAAGGGTTTAAGTATACTAGAGACGAGTTTCGCGAGACTAGGTTGAAACAATATGAGAACTTTGTCAATATCTTAACGCCTAGCTCTCGGGAAAAGCTCGATAAGGTTAGTGTAGTACATTGAACTGACTATACCATATGTGACTTTCATCATTAGAGAATAGATACATGAACTTTATTTTGTGTGGCAATCGACAGGAACATCGGCAAGTTGAGAAAGGAAAGAACTTTTATGAGTTTCAATTCAATACAAGGCTTGTCACATCCACTATTGTGCATTTTCAGGTAGAGATTTTGCATCTGCTGATTCATTGCCATAAAATTTTGTACCTCTATGTAAAAGATGGATCTTTTTTCAAATTTAAGAGTTCATAGGCTGATCATTTGCATCATTATTGGATTAAATCAACCTTCTGTTCAGTAATGGTTAGTTGGTAGATAATTAATGCCTAGGTTAAGTGCATCTCATTTGAAAAGTCTATGAATTGCAAAATGGAAACACGGTTAGAGTATGGTTTCGATGAGCTATAACAATCTATGGGCAGGTAACTTTTGTTTAAGAAAGTGCTGACTATATTGGTATCTGAGTGCAGTCCATGACTACCAGCATCCATGGTGATACTATACTCTTTTCATTTTTTTTCCTTGAATTGCTTAACTTTACCCTTTCAGAAATCGAAAGCCTGCACTCAGGTTTTCTATTCACTTTAATCCCTTTTTTGCAGAGCTCTCGGCGGATGCTTGTATAGTGGTATTTATATTTTGCTTTACTAAAAGTCTTGAAAAGCTTTTTAAGTTACGTTTATCATATCAGAGCCGCATCAGGGTGACTTTATCAGCCAATATCGAACAAAAACACATAGTCTTAATTATGAAAGCAGAGTCAGGTTCATATGGACTTTAAAGTTTTAATGCACGTTCTCATGCTTAAATCTTCGTAATGTACTAATATGAATTAAGTGAGGGCTGGAACAATCATATACTCGATCGTTGTTGCATTGTACTTTGCACATATCCTGTAGTGCAGATCTGCGGTGTGTTTATTCTAATGTGAATATGGCTTATAATTTGTGGCATTTTGGGCTATTTTCCTCTAATTTCAACCTCTGATGCAGCTGGAAGTAATGTCTGAGCAGCCGGCAGCATAACGATATGGGTATGATAGGAGAATGTTTGCACCTTTAAGAGATCCCTGTAACCATTTGTCCAGATAGAGTTTTGTTTCTTACCACATCATACGGCTTTGCATGCATATAATTTGTTAAACATGAGGAGTTTTGGGTGCTTTACTCATTCATTCACTAACTTCTATGTTCCCGCATTTCATGCAATGCATATCGTGTACATGGGATGATGTTTGACTCAATCTGGTTATAGATGCAACTTAATCATTTTGTGTAAAACAACATTGTCCATTTTAGTTTCTAACTTGAGTGAGTCCATTAAAAAGAAAGTCCGGAAGTTAATTTGATATCAAGGCTGCCTTCTTACCTCATATTCATATACAAGGAATTCTTGTTTTCATGTTTTCTGCTTATACGGCATGTGATTGATCCTTCATATTCTTCCTTTTACAGCTTCGGAATTTGGTATGGGCGACATCAAAGCATGATGTATATCTAATGCAAAATTATTCACTCATGCACTGGTCATCTCTTCTACAGAGAGGGAAAGAAGTAGTGAATGTCGCCAGATCAGTTACCCCCATTCAGGTGAGAGTTGTGAAATACTATTACAAAAATATAGTTATTCCGATTGATCTTAGTTCCTGGTTTGGTTTCTTTTTCAGAAACTACCTGGATTGTTTTCTGAGCCACTCTCCAGGGTGCAAGTTAGCAGCATGGCAGTCAAAGAAAATCTGATCCTGTTAGGAGGGTTCAACGGGGAGCTTCTCTGCAAGGTTCACATTTTCTTCGAATAGTCACTGCTTTTTCCCACGTAGATAATATAAACCTCAAAACCATATCCTTAAACTTGTATTGCTCTTCTCTTTCTCCAGTGTGTAAACCAGCCTGGGGTTGCTTTTTGCACAAGATTGTCAACAGAAGATAATGCCATCACAAACACAGTTGATATATACCCAAGCCCAAGGTATAAAAGGGCCAGAGAGTTATTAGCAATTTCTAGAGGTTTTACGTATCATCCTGAACTCGAGCTGAAGTTTCTTCTCTTCTCTTCTTATTGCAGTGGCTCCCTTAGGCTTATAACCGCAAATAATGACTGTCATATACGAGTATTCGATGCTCAGAGCTTTACACTTGTCAGTGAATTTGCTTTCGATTGGTCTGTCAATGTGAGTTTCCAGGCTATTCTCCACTACACCAACCAACATCTCAAGTCTCTAGCTGCCAAATTTCTCTAACTAGAAACAGTCTAATATTCTTGCAGAATACCTCAGTTAGCCCAGATGGAAACCTACTCGCTGTACTCGGGGACAGTACAGAATGCTTGATCTCTGATTCCCATTCTGGAAAAGTAAGTATCTACGGCTTTATGATAACAACAAAAGCTACAAAATCAACTTCTGTTATTCAGTTCACCAAACCAGGGACTTTGGTTGATGAAAGACTCTCAACTCTGAACCAAATGCCCAAACCAAAACCTTGAAAAATCCACACCCAAAACATTCCACTAACTGCTATCTAATTAGCTCGCATCAGCTCAAATCTGCTACGTTCAGTCCTAGGCTAGACACAGTATAGACCTATAGCTAAGAGTGGAGCTGCTGAACTTCTTCAAAGCTTGTCACTTTTGTCTTTTTTTCTCATCCACATTCAAGTGTTATAATTGACTTGGGGTCACGGTGCAGGTTATTTCAAGCCTCAAAGGCCACAAAGACTACTCGTTTGCATCCGCTTGGCACCCGAATGGTCTAATCTTAGCAACTGGAAACCAAGACACCACATGCCGTCTCTGGGACATTCGGAATCCATCAGAATCATTCGCCATCCTGAAAGGAAACATGGGAGCCATCAGAGGACTGAAGTTCACACCAGAAGGACGGTTTCTTGCCATGGCTGAGCCTGCAGACTTTGTTCACATCTTTGACACGCAGTCCGGGTTTTTACAATCCCAAGAAATTGATCTGTTTGGAGAAATAGCTGGGATCTCATTTAGCCCCGACACAGAGGCACTATATGTTGGGGTCGCAGACCGCACCTATGGAAGCTTGATGGAGTATAAGAGGAGAAAAGATAATCACTATATGGACTCCTTTTTCTGAGAAAGGTAAATGAAAAGAAAAAGCATCTAAAAAATGTTGTCACAATTCGGGTTTTACCCTTTTAGTGTGTATATGTAGACAGAAACATAATTGTATTCATAATTTTCTGTGGTAATATCTGTTATGCAAGTATAGGAATCAGTGTTTGTATGTAACCCTTGTACTCTTGTAGTGTGCCATAATATAGCTTGCCAAACTTTAAATATCTTTTGTTGTAAGACTTCTAAGTAAAAGTCTGGTTGTGGATCAATTTTTTTACTTTACCTATTTAATGAGGAGACGCGTAGAGAAGTAACACTATGAATAGTATTAGCTTGGCAATCAAAGCTGCCAAAAGCAATGTGCAACTTTGTTCACCAGCCTATTAAATAAGGGTCCGAGACTTGTAGATTATACAGGCCGTACTTGCCGTTTGCATCGTGATACGGCCTTGTGCTCGGGTTTGAGGCTTCCCATCGAATATCCCGAAGTAGTAAACAAAAATGGAGCTCCACATTTGTCAGCAAAACATCAAAAAATATAGATGTATCCCATGTTTATTTCTAAACTCTTTATTAACCATATATCATATCGTTAAGAAAATTATTCACATGTTTACTTCAAAATCTTAACACTCATAAAGTTGCAATGAATGTGGTTTTAAACAGTGATGACATTAAGTTTTATGAGGTTGTCGGACGGTTACTAGAGCCATCCCCGAGAATTTGAAGGCTAGAAGCACAAGAAAAAAATTAAAGACCTATTATTTGTAAAAATTTTAAAAAATAAATTTGAAAAACAATCAAAATAGAGGTAGGAAACTCGAACTGTGCACTTCTTTTTATAATGTAACTTGCCTTTTACCACTAGACTACTTAAATAATTTTGCATCAAAATTGGCCGATATTATATATAATCAAATAACGGCCGCAAGCAGAAGCTTTATTTGACAAGGAATAATCACATATTCAAAGAATGAAATGGAGTTTTATACAGTTACAAGCTTATGTAATGGAGTTAATTATTTTCTAATGCTTGAGAATCATTACAAGGAATAATCACATATTCAAAGAATGAAATCGAAGAAGGGTTTGAAGATATATATTCAAAGAACTAGAAGGATCTTGAGAAAGAAGAACCTTGAAGTTTTATACAAATTAATATTTTACAAATTCAAAAATATTTCAAAGATATATGTTGAGAATAATCCATGCATAACCTTGAAGTTTTATACAAATTAAATTTTTAGTTCATATACTTCAATTTTAATATTAATGTCATATTTTACACATGTATACAAATTACAATCTCTTTTTCCAGTAAAGTTTGAAAAATTTATTACTAAAGCAATTAATTGTTTCAAAAAGGGTAAACTATATTTTTATTTTGTATTAAAAATATAAATAACACTCTTTGAACAAAATGAAAAAAACCAACCGATTCTTATGAAACAATACGATTGTTAGCTAAAATAAAAACGTGAAAATAAGATGAAAATATGTTACTTTTTTTTTCTTTTTATCATATATATATATATATGCCCGGCCCGAAGCAGAAGCCCAACAAGCAAGGATTTATGGCAGCAGATTTTGTATAATAGTGGTTTAGTAACATGTCCTCTACCTTTAAACCTGGGTTCGAATCCCTCTAACTTTTTCCCAAAAACAATGTTTTTATTTTTTTCACTTAGAAAAAATATATAAACGAGTACTCCAATTTTTTTTTTTGTTAAAATAATTAAAATTAAATAATTATTTACTAAACAATTTAACTTGTGGAAGCCCCTTTGGCCCATTGGTTGAACAAGGGTTAATTAATGCTTCTACACCCAGAGGTCTGGGGTTCGAGTCCCAGATACTGTGATTTATTAATAAATTTGCAGATTATTGGAGGCAAGTGTGCAGGAGATCTCCAGCGATGTACAATTATAGCCGTTCGCCAGGATTCTACGCAGAGAGGGAAGTGTCCATCAAGAGCATAAAGAAGGAGGTGAAGGAGGTGAGTATGAAGAAGAAGGTGAAGAAGGTGTCGTCTGTCGTAGATCTAATAAGGGTCGGAAGGAATTGTCCGTTGTAGAATCGTCTATGTAATAGTTCTCATAATTTGCAATAAATAATAAATCCAGACGTAAAAAAAAAAAAAAACAATTTAACTTCAAAAAGCTAATTTTCTTTATGGGTAACGATCACCATTAATACTCTATCATTTTAGCATCTTCTCAACCTTAATCTCTTACACTAGTTTTTTTTTTCTAACTTCAATCTCTGTTCTTTACTCATGTATGTCTTCTTCTATTTCTCTTTTCTTTCTTATCAAGTTTGCCAATCTCTATAGTTTTCTTTTTTTATTTTCTTGCTTGTTAATATTTTTTCTGTTCAAATCTTATAATTAAACAAATTAGGTTTCATATTATTTTATTATGCGAAAAAAAATTTTGGGGCAACAATTTTTAGTTTGCTTTAATCATCAAATATCATCGAACTGGCACTATATATATCTATATATACATTTTTGGATGACTTTTAGCAAATAAATCCTGGAGTTGGAATGTATTTACGGATGAATGCCATTGGCATTAATTATTTAAATTTGAAAAATATTAATTAAAGATATTACCAACACGATTTCGAGAATCATAAATTCATATCTTCCTTAATTTTCTGAGTCATTAATGTGATAATCTTTAGGAAATATTTCTCTGTAAAAAAAAAAATCCACATTAATGAAGGCATTAAAATCGACACTAACAATTAAATTATTTAGATATTCAATTATTTTAAGATTCTTATATCTTATTTGATATTTTTTTTTAATATCTCATTCTTTAATTACTGCGTTTAGAATTTATTGGTTGTTACCTATTTTTTGGTGAAATTTATTGGTTGTTACTTAATAAGTAATTATGGTGCGTTTATTTTAGTTAATATCTAATTTAAAGGATTTGTTTTCTTTTATTATTAATAAACGAATAACATGTATAGAAATAAAAGATTATTCTTGCGATTCCATAATAAAAATATTAAACTCTTATTTTCTACATTTCTTACACATAATATCCTCTTATTCAATAACAAAAAATATATATTGCATATTTTTAAAAATATTTATAATATTTAAATTATATAAAAAGTTTGTAATATTAATATTATTTCAACTCTATACAAATTTAATATATATGTATATATATCTTATGGGAACCATTTAAAAGAAATTTTTAAATTGACTTGAATTATATAGCTTTTAAATAAAAGTATTATTAAAAAGAAAAATAACTAAATGATGTTTAATTTCACGGGACGGGTAATATGATGGGACGGGTTTGGGTTGATATTTATAAAAGATAGTATACCACGGGTGAAATCATAAAATTAACAATCAAAATAATCTATCAAACAAATTACATTTTGATTTTTTTAAGAAAATATAGCTCTGCGGTACACCGCGGGTTAAAATCTAGTATAGTATATGTTGCTTCATTACAGCAAAATGAAACTAATTCGAAACCAATTATATCTCACTTTTTAGATATCTAATGGAGTAGTAACTTAACATGATGCTGAATCGTTTCAAATTTTAACATTTTTATATCAAAGATATATAGTCAAATTAATGTCACGACAGCGTCAAGCCTCCAACCAACTCACGAACGTGAACACAAAGACATTAATTGTATATTAAGAATTCAGAGAACGCAAATCTTATTTATTTAGAATTGACGCAAAAGATCATTTGATACGGGAGACATAAGAATCAATGTAATTAAATGAGAAGAAGAAAGTCAACCCCATCCCACGTGGACTGCAGGTGAACATAAAGACTGACTCTGCATTTGAGTCGTTTCATGTACGGAGGATTACGAAAGTGTACATAAAATGATATACGAATAACGAAATAAGATGAACTTTTGCATATACGACTTGATGTTACAAAGAAAAAAATAGAACCAATGCATACAAATTTAGATAGGTTAAATCGTTGGATCATGATAAATGTCATGATGCATGTTAACATACTGAATTAAATCTAAAATTCTCATTAATTAAAAATGTTTGTACACTGAGTCTTTATATAGATTTGAGATTAGTATAAGATACAAGCTAAAGGAAACTTATACAATAGACTATATCTCATCTTAATGTTAATACACCCCCCTCAAGTATCTGGAATGGAACCTTCTTGTGGAGTGAAGAGACTTGAAACTGTCATGCGGCCAAGTATAGAGTGGAATGGACCTGGATGGAGAGCTTTTGTCAAGATATCTGCCAATTGATTATTGGTTGTAATATGAAAAACCTTCAAACAACTCTCTTTAATCTGGTCTCTGGTCTTATGGCAATCGATCTCCACATGTTTTGTTCTCTCGTGAAAAACTGGATTGTTAGCAATGTGCATTGTTAACTTGTTATCACAAAACATCTTAGCCTGAGAAGTCACAGAGATATGAAGATCCTTCAATAACTGACTAAGCCACACCATTTCATCAGAAGCCATGGCCATGGCTCTATATTCAGCCTCAATGCTACTGATACTAGCAACCAGTTGCTTCTTCGATTTCCAAGATATCAAAGAAGAAACCAGAAATACACATATACCAGTGACAGACCTTCTTGTATCTAAACATGTGCCCTAGTCAGCATCTGAAAACCCATTGAGACAAAATTCTGTATTAACAGAGTAAAACAAGTCTTGACCCGGATTTGCTTTAAGATACTTGAGCACATTGTACACTTCCTGGAGATGTTTATCTGTAGGAGAAGAAAGTAACTGACTCAACCGGTTCAGAGCAAATGTGATATATGGTATGGTGAGAGTAAGGTAAAGCAGTCTTCCAACAAGTTCCTTGTAAGGTCTTCCATCTTGTAAAAGAACACAAGTTTCCTTAGTAAGAGTGATTTTAGGATCCATAGGAACAGACCTGGGCTTGCATTCAAGATAACCTGCATCCTTTAACAGATCCAAGCAATATTTTCTCTATGAAACTGAAATACCTTCTGAGTTTCTGGTAACTTCAAGACCTAAGAAAAACTTGACTGGTCCAAGATCCTTAGTCTTAAACTCTTGAGCTAATACTCTTTTCAAATAATTCACTGCAGCATCACTATTGCTAACAATGAGAATATCATCTACATACACCAGTAGAGTAATGAAAGTCATTCCTCTGACTTTAACAAACATTGTGTTATCCACTAGAGACTGAATAAATCCATCAGAAAAAAAGAACTCTTGAGAAGCATTTGTACCATTGCCGACTAGCTTGTTTCAATCCATAAA